ACTAGAGGCCCAGTGCACAAAAATTTGTGCACTCGGGGGGAAGGGGGGGGCACTCAGCCTGGCCTGTGCCCTCTCACAGTCTGGGACCCCTCGGGAGATAACGACCTGCTGGCTTAGGCCTGCTCCCGGGTGGTGGAGGGCAGGCCCAATCCCTAGGTGCAGCCCCTGGTCGGGCTGAGAGCAGGGCCGATTGGGGAGTTGGGGCGCCGCCCTCTGTCATGCACAGAGCAGGGCGGATCAGGAGTTTGTGATGCCACCCTCAGTCAAGCTCAGGGTAGGGCCGATTGGGGGGTTGGGGCACCGCCCCCTGTCACACTCAAGGCAGGGTTGATGGGGAGGTTGCGGCGCCACCCCCTGTCACGCACAGAGCAGGGCCAATCCGGGGGTTGGGGAGCTCCCCCCTGTCACACACAGAGCAGGGCCCATCAGGGGGGTTGGGGAGCTCCTCCCTGTCACGCACAGAGCAGGGCCCACCAGGGGGTTGGGGAGCTCCCCACTGTCACCCACAGTGCAGGGCCCATCAGGGGGTTGAGGAGCTCCCCCTGTCACTCAGAGAATAGGGCCGATAGGGGAGTTGGGACACCCCCCCCCATCACACACAGAGCAGGGCAGATCAGGGGGTTGGGGCGCCGCCACTGTCACACTCAGGGCAGGGCCGATGGGGAGGTTATGGCTCTACCCCATCACACACAGAGCAGGGCCCGTGGGGGTTGGGGGGTTGGGGCGCCGCATGCTGTCACACACGGAGCTGCAGAGCGATCAGAGGTTGGGGAGCTCCCCCCTATCAGGCACAGAGCAGGGCTGATCAGGAGGCTGGGGCGCCACCACTCTCACACTCAGGGCAGGGCCGATGGGGAGGTTATGGCTCTACCCTGTCACACACAGAGCAGGGCCCGTGGGGGTTGGGGGGTTGGGGCGCCGCATGCTGTCACACACAGAGCTGCAGAGCGATCAGAGGTTGGGGAGCTCCCCCCTATCAGGCACAGAGCAGGGCTGATCAGGAGGTTGGGGAGCCTTCCACTGTCACGAACAGAGCAGGGCAGATAGGGAGGTTGTGGCCCCTCCCCCTGTCACACACAGAGCTGCAGGGCGATCAGGGGCTTTGGGCGCTGTCCCCTGTCACGCTTATTCCTGTGCCGGGAGGCCTCTCAGCTCTGCTGATCCCAGTGCTGGGAGGCATATTACCCTTTTACTATATAGAATAGAGGCCTGGTGCATGGGTGGGGCCGGCTGGTTTGCCCTGAAGGGTGTCCTGGATCAGGGTGGGGGTCCCCACTGGGGTGCCTGGCCAGCCTGGGCGAGGGGATGAGGGCTGTTTTCAGGCTGGAACTGAAGCTCCCAACTGCTCCTTTCTTTCTTTCTTTTTTTATTCTTGGCCAGATTTAGCTCTGAGGCTCCAGCTCTTAGGCATCCGCTGCTGAAAGTAGGTATCTGGTTTGTTTAGGTTCTATAATCAAAACTTTGTATCAACTCCAGCTCTGAGATCCCGGCTTGCTGAAAGCAGGTTTCTGGGGTTTTTTTTTAGCTTCTACATTTGTTACAATGTTTCAAACTGCAGGCTCAGAGGCCGGAAAGGCAGGCGGGGAACGTTGGTTTCCTCTGTCACTGAAGCAAGGAAGCCTCATGTTAGTTTCAGGCTGCCTGGCTGCCGGCCACCATCTTGGCTGGCAGTTAATTTGCATATCTTGCTGATTAGCCAATGGGAAGGGTAGCGGTTGTATGCCAATTACCATGTTTCTCTTTTATTAGATAGGATTATATATTCTGTCAATGTTGCTTTGTTTCAAACTTGATTCATCATTATAATGGTTTATTGCTTCTTTTTTTAAATATATTTTTTATTGGTTAAGATATTACATATGTGTCCTTATCCCTACGTTACCCTCTACCTCCCTCCCCCCCCCCCCCCCCCCCCCCCGCTCATGCCCTCACCCTCCCGTTGTCCATGTCCATTGGTTAGGCCTATATGCCTGCATATAAGTCCTTTGGTTGATCTTTCCCCCTTACCCCCACCCTCCCCTACCTTCCCTCCAAGGCCCGACAGTCCAATCAATGCCTCTCCATCTCTGGATCAGTCCTTGTTCATCAGTTTATGTTGTTCATTATATTCCACAAATGAGTGAGATCATGTCGTATTTATCCGCTCTCCAGTTCCATCCATGCTGTGACAAATGGTAAGAGTTCCTTTTTCTTTTTCCTCTTCTTAAAGAATACCTTTCAGCATTTCATATAGTGCTGGTTTGGTGGTGATGAACTCCTTTAGCATTTTCTTATCCATGAAGCTCTTTATCTGACCTTCTATTCTGAATGATAGCTTTGCTGGATAAAGTAAATTTGGTTGTAGGTTATTGGCATTCATCACTTTGAATATTTCTTGCCACTCTCTTCTGGCTTGCATGGTTTCTGTTGAGAAATCAGCTGACAGTCGTATGGGTACTCCCTTGTAGGTAACTGACTGTCTTTCTCTTGCTGCTTTTAAGATTCTCTCTTTGTCTTTTGCTCTTGGCATTTTAATTATGATATGTCTTGGTGTGGTCCTCTTTGGATTCCTTTTGTTTGGGGTTCTCTGCGCTTCCTGGACTTGTAAGTCTATTTCTTTGACCAGGTAGGGGAAGTTTTCTGTCATTATTTCTTCAAATAGATTTTCAATATCTTGCCCTCTCTCTTCTTCTGGTACCCCTATAATTCTGATGTTGGTACGCTTGAAGTTGTCCCAGAGGCTCCTTACACTATCTTCATATTTTTGGAATCTTTTTTCTTTTCTGGTTGGGTCTTTTTTGTTTCTTCGTATTTCAAATCTTTGACTTGATTCTTGGGATCCTCTTGTCTGCTGTTGGATCTCTGTATATTATTCTTTATTTCAGTCAGTGTATGCTTAATTTCTAGTTGGTCCTTTTTCATATCCTCTAGAGTCTCACTAGATTTATCGAGGGCCTCACTAAATTTATCGGCGGTTTCCATAAAATTCTTGAGAAACCTTATAAACGTGGCCTTGAACTCTATATCCAGTTGTTTGCTTTCCTCCATTTCTGTCATTTGTGACCTGTTTCTTTGTCTCCGCATTTTTTATGCTTCCCTGTGTTGGTAGAGTGGTTTTGTGTGCTAAGTGTCCTGTAGGGCCCAGTGGCTTAGCCTCCCCCATTACCTGAGGTGGACACTCTTGGTGCGCCCCCTTGTGGGCTTTGTGCACAGTCTTGTTGTAGTTATGCCTTGATTGTTGTAGGATCACTGGGAGGAATTGACCTCCAGGCCTATTAGCAGTGAGAATCAGCTGTGTCTGCAGTGGGAGAACTTCTGTGCTGAAGACACCCTTCTGGGGCAAGACTTGCTTCAGTGGGGATTTGGTGCTCACTGAGTCTGCACCCTGAGTGTGTCCCTTATGGATCTGAGGAGTTGTAATCTGGATGGTCCCCCTCTGACCACTGGGTACACTGGCTCTTGGATCTAAGGAGGTGCTAATTTAGCCTCTGCCTGAGGTTACACAGCAGGAGCTACGAAGAGAACTGCAGATTCCCCTTCCTTTTTTTGGAGTTTGGAGGTACCCTGATGAGGCCCAGCTGTGAAGCAATGCAAGCTGCTGTGGGCCTTGCGCCTTCTCTTGGAAGTTCTGGGTCTGTCTGGCCCAGCTGCAGTTAGGTAATTTTCAGGTTGCAAAGGGCCTTGGCATTCATATGCAAAAGCCTCTGCCGCAACCTGGGTGGGGCGGAGTCTCAGAGAATCAAAGGGAGGAGCAAGCAGCTATGGCGGATTCTCAGCCCTGCCGTAAGGGGCCGTGCGTCTCAGTGTCCCGGTAATTGCTGCAAGCACCTCTGAGGTTGCCGACCTCAAGTTCCGAGTTCTGCCCGCTGCCAGACAGTCCAGTTTCTCCCCGTATGAGTCCCCAGTCCCCAGAGACTTCCCGGAGCCGGAGTTCAGAGCAGTCAGGAGCTTGTGACTCCCTCCTGATTTAAAAAGACAGCCGCGTCCTCAGGTGCCAGCCCCTTTCCGCGGGCGCCAGCCTCCGTATCTCTGCACTTTACTTCCGCAGCTCCTCTGGCTCTCAGTGTGCTTTTCTTTCCTTCTAGTTGTAGAATTTCCACTCAGCCAGCTTTCCTGTAGTTCTGGATGCTGTTCGTTTTGTCTTTATGTTGTTTTTTTTGAAGTTGTTGTGGGAGGCAGCAATTTCACGGTGTTTATCTATGCCGCCATCTTAGTTTCACTCGGTTTATTGCTTCTTGCTCATATTTTAAAAATGATTTCTTTAAGCATAAAAACATACTTATTTTTTTCTGATAATTTACATGTCTGACTTCTTTACAGGCCTGATATAACCTGACATTTTCGTTGGTTCTCACTTATGATGCCTGTTCCCTGTTTCTAAGGTTTTGCCTGTTAGCTTATATTTTCAGAATTTTATCTGTGGGAAGTCTTGGGAGATGTTGGGATAATAACATTACCCTTTAAGACTAAGTCTCCTTCTGAGATGCCCTACTTTTGTGGCTTGAGTTTTCATATGGAGTCTGGTGACACTGTTTCTTCTTTCTGCCTCTAACAGTAGCAATGACTTCCTATTTGTTGCTATTCTCCAGGTACCTCAACCTTTCTTATTTGTTCACTTAGCCTTACTTGCAAATAGACTAGTCTTTGAAAAGTCTTCTAAAAAATCTCAAATGAGTACATCATATGTTTCCTGCTGAGACCCTGAGTAATATAATCTATGTGAAGAGAACGTAATAAATATAGCTATTATTGTTATTGAGAAGACCACTTTCTATTGAGGGGGATCTTCAAGTAATTCAGGCAAAAATGATTATGGTGCTTGGGAACAAAAATTGTTTCAAAAAAGATAAGCCCAGAGCACTGTGGAATGAGAAAGAAAGCTCTCTCCACTTCTTCAATGCCCCACCCCCTTAGTCAGTCTAAGGAAGCCCCAGGATACTCCCCTCAGGATACTGCCATCAGAAGCCATTTGAACCCATTCTCACCACCATAACCTTCCCCCACACCTCCCTCTCACTCACCTTGGAGGGCTATAAAGTGAGGGAGGTACACAGCTGCCACAGCTCCTGGTTCAGCCTTGATGTCAAAAAGAGGCCCCGCTACCATCCAGCTGTGCTGTGGGACAATCTGGTCCAGGAACTGGTCCCAAGCACAGAATTCAATCTCAATGGTCACTGGCCCTCTCACCACCAAGTAGAGACCTGTGTTGGGACAGTGGTAGGAACCAGCCACAGGGAAGTGAACTCTGGGGATAGCAGAGAGAGGTAGACATTGAATTAATTACTCCACACAAGCTCACTGACTACCTACTGGGTGCCCGACCAATGCAGTGCACTGTGTATCCAGTAGAGTGGCTGCAAGCTCAGATGTCACAGCCAGAGGGCTTTGGGTTTGATTATTTTTTTAAAAAATTTTATTTTATTATTTAAAGTATTACAGATAGTAATACATATGTCTCCTTTTTTTTTCCTCATTGACCTTCCCCCGGCCTCCCCTCTCCCCCGGCACATGCCCTCTCCCCTCCCCCCCCCCCCCCCCCAGTGTCTTGTGTCCCTTTCTCCCTACTGTGGATCCCTGAGCAAGTCATTGAACGCCATAATCACAGTTTTCTTATTTTTAAGTAAAAGTAATAACAACACCATCTCTTAGAGTTGTGAGTAATAAGTGACCTAATGTATGCTGATGGCTTAATACTTGCATGGGTGTGGTTAGCTGTTTCTATAATGGTGATAATGATGAGAATAATAATGATAGTAATAATATTAATAATAATGAAACAGGCAAGTGTTATTGTTTTTAAAGGGCCTAATTTTCAATAATTAATAACAATCTAAATGGTGATATTAATGATAACCACTTGAACTTAAAACTTACAGAGACTTTCCCCAGGTTCCCTGCTGGTATATAGTGGGTTTCTAGGATGTCAGGTTCTGTGTGTAAGTTGTGAGTAATATTATCGCCCAGCTGAGATCATGTCTGTGACAATGATTGGGAATGTGCTATGTAATAGATCAGAACTAAAATTATACATATTTATTACTTAAGACTGGGAACCCTTGGAAGGCATGGCTCCATATTCATCTCATGGCTCCTTGTAACTGGTATGGTACTTTGCACATAGCAGATGTCAATAAAGCAGGAATGTGTAGATGAAAAGACACTTAAAAGAGATTTATCATACATAATAAACCATATAAAATGAGTGGACTTGGTTTGAATCCTGATTAGAATAAACTTACTGCAAGGACATAATTTGGACAATTGAGCATATTGAATACAGATAGGGTATCAGATAATATGAAAATGACTTATTATAAATGTTGTTAAATATGAGAGTGGGATTGTGGTTATTACAATAGTATTGTGGTTATTTTGTGTTCTTCAAAATTCATCACAAAACATATATGGATAAATACACCTGATATCTTGTATTTAAAATAGTATAAAAACAAAAGAAGGGGAAAGTGAATAGTTGAAACAAATTTAGGAAAATGGTTCTTAAGGCTGGGTAATGAGTAAGTGGTAGTCCCTTGTACATTTTACTTTGTTGTTTGCAACTTTTCATCGTAAAACTTCTGTTTCCATAATAAAAGTACTAATGCAGCCCTGCCACTCTGCCAGGTGGCTCAAAGACGAAAAGGAACCCAATGGATCATGAGTGGGGTGCTGAGTGTCTGTTAGGATCCAGTGTGGGGATGGCAGAGGTGCGGAGGGCAGCCTGGCACACCAGAGTCCTGTCACTCACCGGTACAGACTCGTGTGTTTGTCAACCATCTCTGCAGCCGAAGGCCCTGTGGGGCCCCAGAAGACATCATCCATCCTTAGAGGCCGCACTGGTTGGTTCCCCAGAGGTTCATGAGATGA